ACCCTGAAGGAACATATTGGTAATTAACCTGAGCCCTATATTATAGCAAGCACCCTTATGGTAACCTATCCTAACCCTAACCCTAAACCCTAAACCCTAAACCCTAAACCCTAAACCCTAAACTTTTCCGGCACAAAGATGCCTTGCAGGCCCTCAGGCCCAAGCGGCGGTATAGACGTCTGCAGCGAAGCGGGTTCGGAGAGGCCTTGGTAGTGCGTGCTAAAAGGGTAGGGTTTAGGGTTTAGGGTTTAGGGTTTAGGGTTTAGGGTTTAGGGTTTAGGGTTTAGGGTTTAGGGTTGAGGCCTCGGTAGTGTGTGCTAAAAGGGTAGGATGAGACGGTTTAGGCCTTGGGGGCATTGGGCTTTCGGCTCACTTCTTGATGTGCTTGGGGTACTTGAATGCAGTATACGGCGGCAGCAGCCCCGACAACTTCACCTTCGTACTGTTCACCTTGTCGCAGTGTACGGCGCAGGGGCGCAACCTGTAGCCTACACCTCTGAAACCCTAATCCCTAAACCCTAAACCCTAAACCGTGTGCACCCTGAACTCTGAACTGCCGCAACGGTGCCCACGACTTTTCGCTTAGGGGCTTGCGCTTCTAAGTTGGGCTACCCTTCGAAGCCGAGCGCAGTTTGCTGCCGAAACCCTAAACCCTAAACCGTAGGGCTAAGGGTGTAGGGATCAGTGCTTCGGAAGGAGTTAGCTACAGAGCTTGCCATCAAGCAGAGTCTGAGGCATTAACGACGGCCGAGGCCTCCACACGCTAAGTCGCGAACATGATTAATGTAGGGGCCTTAATGAAATTAGATAGGGTTTTGGGGCCCATTATACCGTAATCATAATAAGGAACCCCCAAAATATCATCGGTAATTATTTAGGCCCCTAATGTACCCCAAGACCCTGACCTGGTCACTAAGGCCGGCATGTTTTGTTCACACAAATCCTGAAGCTCAAATGCCACAAAGCCCCTGCTTTAGATGCAGGAAGCCTCGTGCCGACCCTACTCAATTAGTGGGTTTTGTTTTGTAAGCATCCAAAGTTGATATGAATCTTTCGTATAAGTATCCTTGCTAGGCTCCTTGTATAAGCCCCCTTCGCCCTAATCTGCAGGAATGCCTATGTACACTGCATCACTTGGGATCGGACCTTGACATGCTGTCCAGCACCTCAGAACAGTCCCAGCTCTCGGGAGGAGTTTTTGTCAAAGGGCTCCCTAAACCCTAAACACACTTGGGCTTCAGGACACAGTGTCACTTCGACCTGTTATGGTTGATCTATGCGTTCAACAGGAACCATGGAACAAAAACACCGAACAACTGCCAACTCGATCTCGTAGAAAGCTTGCAGTACAAGCACAAACTTACCTGTCTAGGGTCCGAGGGAGCTAAAGGGTAACCCTAAGGAATGCAGAGGGAAAAATATATGAGTTCCCCCGACAAGGGTTAAACTTTGCGCGCTCTACTACTAAGCATATTTCAACAGCTTCCAAGTACGTAGCAGCCTTCTGCTACAATAAAATCGTCATATTCCGTGAATTCTAGATCTTCTCTGGATGTCCGCAAAGCTACGGCGTGCCGCCACCAAAGAACCAGAACCCCCAAGACGACAACAGTAGATTCCCAAAACTTGCCGCCCATGTGTCCTAAATCTTGAAACACAAATAAACCTAACATCAACCAAACTTATCTGCCACAAGACCTGAGCCTCAAGACCCGAAGGCCCTTCGATCAAACGAGCCGCTATCTCCCAGAAGCCCTAACTACCTACTCCCCCCCCCTCTCAAGTAGGTAAAATAATGTCCCAACACCTCTAAAAGGCTATTATTCTATGAAATAATGGCCCAACACTTCTAAAAGGCCAGTATTCTACATATTTTTGGCGTCCAGGTAGCCTCATCTAGAAGCAACAGGCCAGGCCCTGGCGACCTTAGATGTGGAAGAATAACCCCAAACCCTAAAACTCATAAGCACTGGGGGTTTAGGGCTTAGGCCTTGGACCTTCCATTGTGTTGCGAGTTTGGTTAAAGGAACCTACAGGTGGGGAGTTTAGGGCATATAGGGCTTCTATAAGGCTTCCATAAGGTATATAGACCTTCTATCAGGCTCCTATAACGGTAACTACCCACCTGAAAATGGCCTAGACCATGCCCTATTCCTTGACACCTCCAACCCTAAGATATCACCGGCCTGAACAATTGAGCTCGGAGTTTAGAAAGCTTTAACTCGAAAATACACTGCGCACCAGGGATTATCAATCATAGTTAATATGAATTTTTCAAAGACATACGACCATAAACCCCATATAGAGTAAAGGAGCCACCACCGAATCTTGAACCCATGAACCCCTTGCAGAAACCCTCTAATTGTCGTCGTCAAATTACTGCAGCAAACTTGCAGCGACCCTCTGACTATAGTGACCTCAATGCTATTGTAATCTCAAAGTATCCCTATCTTTATACTATTCTTCTAGTAGGATACAAGACATGGAATGCTTGTGAAAAATCCTGTCGGAAGTATGTAATGGTTGGATACCTCAAACCTCGTCCACGACCCATGCAACGATAGGCTACCAATTGGAGGCTCTGGTTGCAGATCCGGTCTTCGCGCGTGCCACAAACTGGCCGTCCATGTACCCAAATAGTATATACATTGGCCTTAATGTAGTCCCTATATAGGTACTTTAGGGCCAATGTATATACTATTTGGGTACATGGACCCTCTGGGGCATGCTGACCCCGGATCCAGAAAAGGCTCATCCTATGTAGGACCCTTAGGGTGCTTGATGTCGGACATGCTCAACGGCACGTTGGCGGGTTGCCCGAAGAACTCGTGGAAGGCGTCGCCTGGCATGTCGCCCGCGACGGAAAGGTCGAACGTCACGGTGACGGCGGCGCCAGCAGGGAGCGCTTCGCTTGGCATCGTGATGTTGAACAGAAGTCGATCAGTGTCTGGAGAAGCTGTGGCCACCATGTCGTAGACCCCCATGTTGGGAATGTCTCTCAAAGCGAAGACCTCCACAAAGCGCACCCGAGGCTGGAAGAGAACGAGGCGAGCCGGCCCAACAGGGAAAACGATCTCTGGCGCGTCGTTGCCCTCCACTTCATCGCATACTAGCAAGGCCGTTGTCGTGCTTGCTGTGGTCGTTGACGTTGTTGGAGCTGGTGTGGAAGGAGTGGCGAACTCTGCACTTTTTCTGTGGTGTTAGCGTAGAAAAATGCTTGCTCTTCGGCGCAACGTGCCGTGCGTGACAATGCCCTGTCGGCGGCGGAGCCGGTAGTACAGGCGGCTAATGTGAGCTCGTGATTAATAAAGGCTAATTGGGGCCCTGCACACAATAGCGGAAAGGTCCCCTCAGTTGGGCGACGTGAGGGCTGCACACAATAGTGAAGCATAAATACTACCCCTCCATAGTCCCGGCTTTTGTTTTTTAAGCTTTCGGGACATAGACGTTGCTACTACAAACTGACGCCTGGAAGAGGAGAGACAGAGACAGGCAAGATAGAGGAGAGCCAAGCTGAGCTCCAAACTCGGTTCTGTATGGCTGCCGGATCTCTAGGTTTCTAATATAAACCCCTTTAACAAAAACACTCTCATCAAGTGTTCTAAGGGGTCGTATACGATAGCCTCGAGGACCCCCAATAGTGCGGATGAAAAGTCCCCCTCAATAGTGCAGTGGCCTGCCAGGATCCCCACTGTACTACTATTATGGGTTTAGGTTTAGGGTTTAGGGTTTAGGGTTTAGGGTTTAGGTACTACTATTATATTACGACTGTGCTACTATTGTACTGCTACTGTGCAAATTTAACATGACTGTACAAGCGACCACCAAACAAGTTACAGCCCGACCCCCCGAACAACTATCCAGAGGCGAAGAAAACGACTCCGACCACTATTCCGGATTTGGGAGATGTTCAGGCGAGGGGTTTAAAAATCAGGAGACCCCATTATTGTCCGCCCCCACCCCCTTCCACTTGTAGACCAACGCATTATGAATGCATTCGTGTCGTGCTCATCCTCTGGGACTCGCTCAGCCATGTCCGTGCAGACATGCTCCTATGCGGAACTGACAGTGCTCGGGCGTGCAAGCACAAATGCCGTCAGGAGGAGCCATTGCTTTGCCATTGCTGCACCGTGTGCTAGCTAGGAGGTGCAAAGGCAGTACTGTCGTTCTGTCAGGATCACGGGTGATGCAAGGCTGCCTCTATTCGCCGGAGCCGCCTTGAGGACCACTTAAAACATCTTGAGGATCTCTGCAATTAACAAGTCATAAGCAGACATTCAGAATCCCTTCACAGGTGAAGGTATACCCCTAAACCGTAAAGTTTAAAACCCTAAACCTTAAACACTAAGCCCCTATTCGTTACATGTCGTTGCTTGAACCCACCAACTCAGCACTAAACCCTAAACCCCTAAACCCTAAACCATAAACCAACAACACCGTTTTCCCCAAAGACGCCCCTAAACCCTAAGCCCTGAACCCTAAACCCTATAAACCCTGGGCCCAAAGCTGCTTCGCCAGCACTTGAGCGCACAGAGCCTCCGACATCTTTCGAGCTCAAGAGCTGCTTCAAGGTCCCTCCCTACATTTAGGGTTTAGGGTTTAGGGTTTAGAGTTTAGGGTTTAGGGTTTCGGGTTTATGAATTTAGGGTTTCGGATTTAGGGTTTGGGGTTTAGGGTTTAGAGTTTAAGGTTAAAGGTCCTGTATGAAGGGTCCAGTGTGAAATCTACAGGGGTGTTTTCAAGGATTTGGGAGTCGCTGGGTTCAGGGCTCAGGGGTTTCTGACAGGCTGGTCCACGGTTTAGGGTTTAGGGTTTAGGGTTTAGGGTTGAGGGTTTAGGGTTGATCTTCTGGCTTGGTTCGCACACACACACACACACTCGAAGGAATTCTTGCTGAGTATCTCAGTTTCACCGAGAGCTCATGCGAAAAGAAGCTTTATCCACCAACTATGACTCGAAAACACATTTTCCTTTCGGCATTTGCGTATGCATAAAAACTGTGCAACATGTGGCTTATTTGTTGTACATGTCTTTGAGATATTACGTCTTCAAACGAGTACAAATGGTTCCCCGGCACGCTTTGCAGAACCTACGTAGTCACCATGACAAACGACACAGTCGTCTCTCTGGACCTGTGACGATAACTGTGGCCGGCATTGCTGGCATGATGACTAGGACGATGTGGACGATGATGTAGACCAACATGACCAAGATGAGAGAATTGCTAATAATAAACACGTAGAAACTCATTAAAACAACAAACCCTAAGGGTCCAAGTAGTCCTTATTTATGGTTTTAGATACCCAAAAAGGCCCTAAAGTCCTTGAATAATGGGTACTTGGACCCTTAGGGAAAGTGATCATAATCATGCCCTGCTGTTCGTATCACGGCTGCGTTGCCGGTAGCACTCTGAATCCTAAGCCCCAATGTCCGAGTAAATCTCTGCACTCAACCCTGAATGCTGAGCCCTTACGTGACCTGGACCTAGAACCCATGACTCTCCTTCAGTTAGAACCCTACTCCCCCTTAGACGGTTAGCGGCACCTACTTCCTTTGAAGTAGGCCGCGTGACCATGCACCACCAAGTCAGGACACAGTTCGAACAAGCTTCACTCTAGAATCCTGAATCCTAGAGCCCAAAGAACGGCTCAGAGCCCGGAATTACCGCTTCACCCCAATGCCTCGAACCCCCCAAAACCCAAAATCACTCTAGATTCTAGAGTCTAGAATCCTAGAGCCTTAGAATGTGAGACCCCCCCCCCCTCTAAAAGGACCCCCAAAAGTCAAAGGGGCCCTAATTTCCAGAACTACGCCCATATTACCAGCAGCTCCGGGGACTTTCGGGGACCTGAACCCTAAACCCTAAACCCTATTACCCCTAAGCCCTAGGCCCTAAACCCTAAACCCTAAACCCTAAGCCCTAAACCCTAAACCCTAAACCCTAAGCCCTAAACCCTAAGCCCTAAACCGTAATCCTTAAGTCCTAAACGGTCCTAAACCCTAAACCCCTACACCCCAAAACCCCTAAACCCCCTAAACCCTTATAGATCCCTTTAAAGGAACCCCTAAACCCTAAACCCTAACAACAGCTCTCGGGACATGGCCTTCCACCGAGCCGTGCGGGCAGTCAGGGGCGCTTTGTCCGCCAGACCCCTTGCATGGGTTTAGGGTTTA